ATCAGTCGATCCAAACTAGCGGAGAACAGTTAATTTCAGAGATTAGTCCAAGTCCAGAGACGGCTCCCGAAACTGCCACAAGGCCTATACAAGAAGACGAACCCGAACACAAACCAAACTCCAAAACAACCCACCTCAACCGGAGGAACAATTGAACCCACTCCCACTCAAGCACTTCCGGAGCCCGGCTAACACCACTAGCCGAGCTAAGGATCACCCGAACCCCGCCGTCTAACACCACTAGCCGGAAGGGGAGAGGGTTCGAGCCCTCAGCCTCTACACACAAGCAGAGCTCCACCCCGCCTCGCAACCCACAAACCCATCAGTAAAAACGCACACCACCGGCACCGACACCTGAACAAGAGCATCTCGAACGGGCCGTCGCTGAAAAAAAAAAAGGACCCGCCCAAAGCCCTTCCTTCGCACAGAGTCTAAGACAGAGACAGAAGATGCAAAAATTGAGGTGGAACTCACCTCCAAATGAGACCGGGATACACCAATTGCAGAGCAATTGACGACCAAAGTTCTCATTCAAGGACCTAGACCAGGTACATCACTTCCTACGAATTGAAATCAATCATGTTCCCTCCTGTCCTTATTACATGGCTCAACCTCCTGGGTTTGAAGACCCCTACATCACTTCCTTATTTTATTGAAGGACCTAGGCCAGGTACATCACTTCCTAGGAATTGAAATCAATCATGTTCTCTCTGGTCTTGTGTTGTCCCAAAGTCATTATATAAAGAACATTCTACATAAGAGAAACATGTTAGATGCCAAGCCTTTGCCAACTCCAATGATCTCATCCTCATCACTCACAAGGGATGCAGGCACTCCAATGGATGATCTTACCTTATATAGAAGTGTTGTTGGCTCCCTTCAATATGCCTGTATAACTAGGCCGAATATCTCCTTCAGTGTAAACAAGGTGTGCCAATTTATGCAATGCCCCATGGATACTCATTGGAAGGCAGTCAAGAGAATCCTAAGGTACCTCGCAGGTACTTTATCCTATGGACTGTACTACTCAAAGAACAATAGCCTGCATCTCACTGGATTCTCAGACTCAGATTGGGAAAATGAACTTGATGACAGGAAATCCACTTCAGGTATTTGCATCTACCTCGGCAAGAACCCCATCTCTTGGTGTTGCAAGAAACATACATCCATTTCGAGGTCCAGCACTGAAGCTGAGTACAGAAGTTTGGCTCAAGCCTCTGCTGAGATCACATAGATCACTTCCTTTCTCAATGAGCTCAATGTGCCTTACTCACAGACACAAACTGTATGTGTTGATAATCTTAGCACCATCTCTCTGTCCAGTAACCTAGTCCTACATGCTCGAACAAAGCACATCGAGATCGACCTTCAATTTTTCAGAGACCTAGTAGCACGTGGCACTTTGAAAGTTCTTCATGTCCCCTCATTGGACCAAGTTAGTGATGTGTTTACAAAGCCACTCTCTCAGCAAGCCTTCACTCGGTTCAGGAACCTTCTGCATATCTTACCTTCAACCTCCTTCGGCTTGAGGGGGGATGATAGAGTACATGCAACACTGCCACCTCACGCATGTAACACTGCCACGTCATGCATGAAGCCATGTAAGCAAAGGGCCGGTCAACGTGAAGAAAATCTGAAGAATAAGACAAAATATTGTGAAGACAAGTGAAGATGAAATTAGAACCATAGAATCAAGAGTAGATCAACATATAAATATACATTTCCTCATTTGTAACCCTAAGAAATGAATGCACATGAAAAGCTGTGCAAGAATGAAACCAATTGGATGATAATGAGCATTTTAAGTTCTTTCTCGTTCTGCTTTCTTCATTTTTGAAATCATAGCTTTCATTTTTTATCTTAAAAGTATCTACACAATAGGTACTGCTAGATACAATCATTAAACATGTTTCTACAACAAAAGTATGAGAATTACCTTCGTTGCCCTTCTTGAGGAGAGAACAGTCCACCTTCCACTGTCCTGACTTGTTGCACTTGTTGTATTTCCCTTTCGATTGCCTGAGGGGCCGGTTGCAGGGCAACTGCAGCCACTTGCGCCTCCATCTTTCCTGCGACTTATTCCTCTTCATGCCCTTACTGGGCCTAGAAGAAGGTTCAGCCTGCTCGACGACCAACCCCTTGACCGCCGGCCACCTGACGTCGACGACCACCATGAGCCGCAGCCCGCGCACACCGACGACCACGGCGACGATCGCCCAGCTTAGCCGCATGCGAACCGCAGCCCGCGGTGATCTCGCGTCCCGACGATCTCCATGTGAAGCCAGTCAACAACGTCTGCCATAAGCAGCCACGCGACGCCGTCCGCTGCTGCCGGCGACCCGTTCTCAATTTGCGTGTACTTGGCCAAGGCTCCTGACAAACTTATCGAGTCTGACGGGAAGAATCCGTATGCCCAATAGATTTGGAATTCAGACATATTTGTACACTGGTAATCTACAACAACTCAGAATATGTAATTTTTAAGCCATATGTATTCAACTCTAAACCTCTAGATCCGCTGCATATAGGTTTATTGTTGCTATTGAATTTGTAACTTGTACATAACGAGATCCTCACCGATCCCAACACCCCTATCCACGTGTAGTCCTTATCATGTTAGATTCATTTTTATCCATTAGTCTGCCATGTTAGACAACTTAATCGTGGGACAAGTTCTAATCATGTCGAGGCAGAATACCACGTATGTTGAGCTCGCATCCCTTCTCTTGGTCGATCACACGATCGATCGTACCTTTAGGTCGAGTTTTCATCAGGTCGTCCAGGGGTCCTAACTCGACCTGTCGGTGTCTTTTTAAACATCAATAGTTTCGTCGACTTGAAGGCCCGTATACTATAGTTCAGCCTATCTGTGCTTCTGTTCGATCACCCAGTCCGTCTGGACAGATTAACCGGTTTATCGGATTTGTACTACCTGGTTTTGTGTTAGTAACAGTTGCGTCCACTAGGAATGTTCATCCGACAATCAAAACCGTATGCACTAAGAGCTTTTATTTATTTATTTTTTTATCTTTTTTTTTT